ACGGGCGACAATGCATCTGCACTTTGATTCTTTATTGAGGATAGATGTAGATGTCTATGCGTCACAGCAACCACTTACCATCATATGTACTGTGTGCTCGTATGTCATCCTATAAAAAAATATTTAAAAAAACTACATTAAGTTTAGAATTAACCATTTAATTAAAAGCTACAACAAATTGTTGAAGAACAATAATTATAAAAGTAAAATATTTAGAATATGTAATTTGTGAAAAAATAATATAATCTTAAGCATCTATTAAGATGCTGATAAAAGTTAATTTAATTTTATCCTCCTGTGCCAACCCTAGCAAAATAGGTAAAAATTTTTGCTCCTTAGAAGCTTTGCCTCTGTACAGTTTCTTTCCTCATGTGGCGCTGCACAAAATATCCACTCATTTCTGAGGCTATGGAGGGTGGCAACCATTTAGCCCCAGCCAGCTAACAGCATCATTGATAGTTTTATTTTTTAATTTCTGACATTAAACTACTTAATGTGTGTTAAAACTGCTAATGCTTCTTCTCCACTAAATCCACTTGACATAATATTATGCTATCAAAAATATCCAGCAGTATGTGCTACAAATAATGAATATTGTTGAATATTAGTAGGCAGTAGTACAACTTACCAGCTTCTATTATTGAAGAAATATACAAGTGGCAAATAAAAAAATTGTGTGTAATTGTGCATACATGTATGAAGTGAAACTTCTATACAACATATCATTCTGCTTTTATTTTATATTTTACATAAGTGGGTTAAATAATAGTATACTCATCTTTAGCCCCAGCGGCGAAACGTTACAAGAAGATGACTTTTTAAATACTGTACAAAATTTCTCTACTACGTCGATAAAGAAGTTTCACTTCCATAAATAGATTTGGTTATTTCGATGGGACGGTGGCACATTGTCTCGAGAGTTTACTGAAAGCTGTGGGTCACATGTTCATTTCCTTCATGGAACACATATGAATATGATACAGAAACAGAAACTTTTTTATTCAATATAGATTATAAAATCTTCATTCAATATATAGATATAAATAATTGTTTGTCCATATACAAATTAAGTGTCTAAAAGACTGCCATAATTCAGGAAATGGTTTAAGTATGGTGTAAAAACATAAATACTCACGCCTGTCACCTAGAGGGGTAGGCAGAGACTATGGACTTCCATTTGACACGATCCTGACACACCTCACTGGCTTCCTCCATATCCATATACCTAAGCATACACACTCGTCGGTTAAAGGTACTCTTAAGTATGGTGTAATTTTTTTCAAATCAAGTTTTGTGGCCAGAACCTGTCAACTCTACTCTTTTTATTATATTATTCAAGCTATCCTAAAATTTCATAATACTTTTTCAGTAAAATTTGCAGTGTCATAAGCACTTACTTGGGGTCGCACAGAATGCCAGCATAAAACAGCAGCTTAATGCTGCTGTGTTTCGTATGGTGAGTGTAGAGAACCGGAGATCCTTTTTACTGGAAATGAGACATTTCACCTTAGTCCTCAGGGGTGACAACACATCTGCGTTTAATTCTTAATCGAGGATAGATTTAGATGTCTATAGACCACAGTAACCATTTACCAACAGGTGGGCTGTGTACTCGTTTGTCAACCCCATACTATAAAAAATAACTTACTTGGGGTAAGGCACTTAGGTTGAAATACAAAAGTATAGTTTATATTAAAACCTATATAATAATGGATCCTTTGGCAGTGGTGTGCCCAGGATCAGAGCACAGAGCAAGCCCAATAATAAAAAATATATTATTAAAATAAAAAAAAATATATAGCTCTAAGTAATAATCATTTATTTATTATTGATAAACATAATGCTTAATTGTAGATATCTGTCATTCATTTCTAGACCCGATCAATCAAGTATTGATTCATCTATACAAATAAATAAAATTGAAGTGTCTGTTTGTAATGTCAAAATTACAGCTTTATACTAAATTCATATGACAGTATATACGGTACTAATAACAAAAATACAATTTTTAAAGTTTTTGTCTGTCTGTCTGTCTGTCCGTCTGTCTGTCTGTCCTGTTTGTTCCAGCTAATCTCCGAAACGGCTGGACCGATTTTGACGGGATTTTCACTGGCAGATAGCTAATGTCAATGTAGGAGTAACTTAAGCTACTTTTGTTTTAGAAAAAGAATTAGGGTTTCGCGCAAAAAAATTAAAACCCCAAATAAAACGCGGGCGAAGTCGCGGGGAACAGCTAGTCTTACATAAAATTCGGGTCGATCATTGAAATGGATCGTTTCGAGTTTCAGTATTCTGTGATCTGTGAGACCCACTCGATAATGTCGGTCGTCGGACATTACTATACTCTTTGGTTGCAGGTCCTGTCAATTGTTTGATCCGGAACGTTAAAAAATGTAATTGCAATTATCAATACTTTGATGCATCATATGAACGGATCATTCACAATTGACACATGTCTACTTAGGTGGGTTATGTTAGGATTTTCTTTTATTTTGTGGTGTTTTTTATGTAATAAATTGTACAAGGATAAACATAATATTATGTTACATAATATTATTTATCTTTGTCACTTTTGAACGGATTATAATGATTCTTTCTTATTAAATTTATTATAATACTAGCTGATCACGCAGACGTCGTTCTACCCTTTCTGACGACCATTTGCTTTCCTAAAAAAAAACCTGAAATAAGCAATAAAAAATTGAGGGTCACTTATCGGGATAAAAACGTTAACAAGTTAGACCAAAATGCACACATTGTGAAACATTTCATTGGAATCAGTTCAGTAGTTTAGGAGTTCATCGCGGACAAACAATGTGACATGTAATTTTTATATAGTGTAAAATTTCACCTTGTTTTTAATGTTACTGTTTTCTTCTCTATTCTTAGCTTATGATTGCTGATGATGCATAGCTTGTGATATTTCTAGGTCCTCTCAAAAGGGTCAAAACAACTAAGACAAAATGTAAACAAGCTATTATGTGGATATTAATTATTATTTTATAAGTCTTTGAAGTCACAACAACAACCTACTATGTCCCACTCCTTAGCACAGGCCTCCTTTCATTTCTGAGAAGTTTTAGGGCACGGAAAATTCTGCCGCGCGCTGCCCCAATGCGTGTTGATGGACTTCACATGTCTTCGTATTTTTTTAAGTTGTAAGATATGCAGGTTTCCTCACGATGTTTTCCATCACAGTAAAGCATGTGGTAAATCAGCACTTAAAATTTTAATTAAAAATGTCATTGGTGCCGTCGGGGTTCGAGCTTGGGTTGCTCCGTGCTGTTGTGATATTTACACCGTGCCCTTAGCTTAGCCCTTGAGCTACCACGGCTTTTACTTAAGTATAATTATAAATGTGAGAGAATTGTATGTTGCTTCCCAGACCACTTCAGGTGCCTTTAGGGTCCACTTTTAGTCTATGCACCATTGGTTAAGAACCACCATCTTAAGTCTTCAGTGTGAGCGTTTAGCAGTGTGGAGTAATGGTGCGTTGTGCATAAATTTTGTGTTAAGTGGATGCCACTCAGGACCCTGTAATACAAGAGCGTATGTTTCTCTTGCACACCGCACGCTCCGCCCCGCTGCACTCGTCACTGAGGCATTGTCTTATTTATTACTAGCCATCCGTTCCGACTTCGCACGGTTGATTTCTGGATCTCGGCAACAACGCCACCTACCGGGTCCAATTGTGAATATAAACCATTCTCTAATCGACTTAATCACTCGCACAAAATTTCATCAAAATCGGTTCAGCCGTTTAGGAGGAGTTCAGTCACACAGACAGAAGAATTATACATTTTAATTTTCATATTATATATTTATAATTACGAATATATAATATGCATGTATTAAACAAATAAACGTTAATATATTAATATAAACCTCTTGAATAATTCTGTCTATTGATGAAAACCGCATCGAAATCCGTTGCGTAGGTAGTTTAAAAGATCTAAGCGGTCAGATGTGGTAGCTCAGATGGTAGAGCCGTGGTAGCTTAGATGGTTAGCGCTCGCTGTAAGCTTCACAGTATTCAAGCAACCCGGGTTCGATCCCCGCCAGCACCAATGAAATTGTTAATTGCAATTTGAAGTGCTGATTTACCACGTACTCGGCAGTGAAGGAAAACGTCGTGAGGAAAGGTGCATGTCTGACAAATAAGAAAAAAAATATTTCAAAGACATGTGAAATTCGCCAACAGGCATTGGGGTAGCGCGGCGAACATTTCCTTGCCCTAAAACCTCTCAGAAATGAGAGGAGGCCTGTGCCCAGCAGTAAATAGGCTGCAACTTTACTTTACTTTTAAGCGGTCAGACAGCGGGAAGCGACTTTGTTTTATACTATGTAGAGATAAGATGTTTAATATTTTGTTTTGAAGTTATTAGTGATGTAATCGCCTATTTATAGTTGCAGATGTCAGAAATAACTACAGAATTATTACTTTGAACTAATATGCATGCATAATTTATCACTGATAGTTCACTCTGATCCAATCATAAACAATTGAATTATATTTTTATAAACAAAGAGCTTTGTTGTAGCTCTTTGAACTACATGGCCATGGCAGATCTTTGGCTTGACCTGAACCATTTACACTTTAGTTTACCTATCCCTTGGGCTGTGTCAGTTACTTTTTCCCCAATCTATATTTTGGAAGTAACTGGAAGTAGACTTCAGAAATGAGTTGGGGGGTGACTCGAACTTTAGGCCTAGTGAATAGCCTATCATGTAGAGGATGTCATGGGGGTCATGGTTTAATAGGGGCATAAAGTTCTTATTACACTCCTAGGGGGTCAAAATGACCAAAAACCAAAAAAAAAATTCTTATTTAGGCTATAACTCTGCCTTCTTCGGAGGTTCTTACACAGTCTTTACTTCCCGCATCCCACTAGTTATAAAGAGAAATGTCGTCACCAAGTGATTGATCTTCGCAGAGCTTAACCTATTGAAGCTGGAAATAGGTTGTTGACATTGACATTGAATCGAGTGATTTGTTTCAGTGCGACATACGTCTGGAGTATTTGAGATGAGCTCTCTACCGCCGGTGGAGTTGGAGGTGGAGGTCGTCGATGAGTCTATGGAAGACGACGCCCCAGAAATGATACCCGCTGACAGGTATGCTTCAAAACAATTCTTTTTCGTTTGATTCAACATGATGTGGATTTGTGCTCTCGACTACTCTTCTACGTCTTTTACTTTGTCTTCGATCTTGAATTAAAAACTCGTCGACGGGTTTTTAGCGGGCCGTGTGACATGGCGGACAAATTTTCCAATTATATTTATACATATATAGTTATTGTAACTCCGAACTGGAATTTCGAAGGCTTGGGCTAAGGTTACGGAAATCCATGACATAATACTAGTTCATACATAAACAGAAAGAGAACTTAGGTAACATAACATTAACATACATAGATGTTAATGTTATGTTACCTAAGTTTTATTGATTTTTTTAACTCAAAAATTAAGCAAACTTGACTCTTTTTAAAGCAGTACGTATATCACTTCATATCTTTATAAACACAAATTAAAATTATCAATATGAAAAATAGTTATATTTTTGAAAATTGAACACTATACCATAAGATTTGAAAGCCTCGGCTACTTCATCGTCTTGTTGGTAATTTTGTTATGAGCGGTATATTTTTTAATTAAGAACGTTTAAAATAATTTTTAAATATGTTTTAACAAGGCGTATAAACGGATGTGGGTCAAGCGTAATTAATTAAAATGTGAAACGAGCTCTAAAATGTTTAGATTAATGGCGAACCACTGAATTTATAAATAGGATACTGACATTGTTATATATTATATAATTTTGACTAGTAAACGTGGCAGAGCCATGCTGCAGCTATATAAGCAGTATAGTTGTAGCACGAATGGGTCGGCTCGACCGGGGAAGGACCACGCTCTCACAGAATACCAGCGTCAAATAGCAGATTAACACTGCTGTGTTTCGTATGGTGAGTGTAGAGAACCGGAGACCCTTTTTACTGGAAAAGAGGCATTCCATCTTAGTCCTCACGGATGACAACGCATCTGCATTTTGATTCACAAACGAGGATAAATTTATATATCTATGAGCCACAGCAACCACTTTTTTTATAGGATAAGGGTGACAAACGAGCACACAGTCCACCTGATGGTAAGTGGTTGCTGCGGCCCATAGACATCTACATCTATCCTCGTTTGCGAATAAAAATGCAGATGCGTTGCCACCCGTGAGGACCAAGATGGAATGCCTCATTTCCAGTAAAAAGGGCCTCCGGCCACCTGCACTCACCAAGCGAAATGCAGAGGTAAACCTCTACTTCATGCTGGTATTCTGTGAGGTCGTGGTACCACCCCGGTTCGAGCCGGCCCATCCGCGCGACAGCAAAAGCTGCCGCGTGGCTCTACCACTTACCATCAGGTGGACTGTGTGCTAGTTTGTCACCCTATCCTATAAAAAAAAATCGGCCCTGGCTTCGCACGGATTTCTGGATCTCGAAAACAGCGCTACCTACCAGATCCAATTGCGAATCTAAGCCATTCTTGAATCTACTCATCACACACACAAATTTTTTTCAAATTCGGTTCGGCTGTTTAGGAGATCAGTCACAGGTACAGAATTAATAGTAGTATGTCACAGGACAGAACAATTATATTACATATAAAGTTAAGGGAATATTAAAAAGTTTGAACCATAGAATTGCTAACGGAGTTTACACAAGTGATAAAATTAAAAATTGTGTGCAACCGACTTCAATATAAATTATTTAAAGATAACTCAAAAACTGGTCAGACCTTGATCAAATTTATATGGGGCCACATGAGAACCACCAGCTTTCAAATAAAAAAGAATCATCGAAATCGGTTGATCTAAAAAAGTTATGAGGTAACTAACACATAAAAAAACATACAGTCGAATTGTGTACCTCCTACTTTTTGAAGTCGGTAAAAAAGGAGGGGGTTTATAATAATTGATTCCTATGTTTGTTTATGTATGTTCACCAATTTTTCCTTAACGGCTTAACACATTTAAATGCTTCTTTTTTATTAAATACCTCAATACTGTTTGCTATATTTCAGGGATGGTCCCATAAAATTTGAAGAGGCAATTAATGTAACTATTTAGACAACCACACTCTTAAAAAGGACAAAAATAAACTTTTAATAAAAAGTCAAGACTTCAAATAATTATAATAATAATATTTACTAATTTTTTTATTGTTTTTAGAAGTGTGTTTTTTTATTTTTTATTACAAGTTTTTAGTTATTGAACATTATATTTACAATGTAGAATCTCGCTGATATGAAACCTCATCGAACTGTTACTTATTGTAATCATAACTGAAACAACAAAAACACGCATACAATTTAATCTCTGTTATTGTCCGACACCGACATCTTCAGAGCGCCTTAGCCACCGAATAGAGATATGAGTCGGTCTTTTGTCTTGTGCGAAAATTGTGCCCTTACATGTAATCTATATTGAACAAAAAGGGTATTCTATTCTATTCTTCTATCTAAGGAAAATAGTACGCTGAAAATGATTTCTCAATCACTGCTTGCATTCGTGCTGAGAGAAAATGCCAATACTTTCCGTATTTAACTTACCCATTAACTAATCCTGCACTCTCATGCCATCAGTAATGACGAATTAACTAGAAAGTCTTTGGTTCGAATCCGGCATTCGAATACTGTTGGAAATTATTCCTAGCTTACGTAAGCGTTGCAGTGATTAACGGGAGCATTATAAAAGGTTTTTTTTTTTAACACAGAGACCACCCGTAAGTCGATGCAGTGGCTCATAGACACCTACAATCTGTCCTCGGTTAAGAATCGAAACGTATCCACGTTGTCACCGCTGTTTAATTACATGGAATGGGTACAGGTTAAGTTTGCATTTGATGAAGACGCTGCGCGCTGGTATAAACCCCCGTGCACCTTATTTTTATCTCTATTAACTTCCCTCGAGCTGTTACGGCTCACCCCTCAAATCACAACGAAGCGCCACAGGGATTGCTGATACAACTCGAACTCCGCTGAAAGCAATGATCGGCTTGCCCGACTACTCGGCCGATTAGTCGGCGTTTTTTCAACCGACTAGTCGGCTAATCGGCTAGTCGGTCAATGTCATAGTCGGCCCATTTCTAGTTTAGATTGGATCCGGTAGCTGGCGTTGTTGTCTAGATCCCGAAATTAACCGTGCGAAGCCGGGGCGAATCGATAGTGGCAAATAAACTGAATTTTACAAGTTTTTACTCGTGCAGCTTCTGAATATAGTAAAAGCATTTTTATATTACGTCAAAATTTATATTCCTATTTTCCTGTTTAATATTCCAGTCTTCCTACTTTTCATCACATCATACTGGGAAGTATATAACGTGGACCCCGCTCTTGTTTTGGTATATTATGTTATTGATATTTCATTTATTTTCTACCGACTCCAAAAAGGAGACGGTACTCAATTCGACTGTATGTTTTTTTATGTGTGTTACCTCTATAACTTTTTACTGGGTGAACCGATTTCGATGATTCTTTTTTATTTGAAAGCTGGTACTTCACATGTGGTCGCATATAAATTTGATCAAGGTCTGACCAATAGTTTTTGAGTTATTCTTAATAATTAATATTGAAGTCGGTTGTACAACATTTTTAATTCTAAATTATTATTTTTCAACTAGCGGTAAGCTCCGGCTTCGCCTGTGTAGAATCAATTTAGTTATCAGAGATTATTTTATAAATTTTTCCATTTCTCAAAAAATCTCCAAGTTTTTCAGCTAAAATATAGTATAGATTACTCCTGGCATTGCTCTCTATCTATTCGTCAAGTTTCAATACAATCGGTTTAGCTATTCCGGAGATTAGCCCGGACAGCAAGACAGACAGACAGACAGAAATTTCAAAAATGGTTAATCACGTCTTAATAACTTTGTTACGTGGCAGATAGTATAGTTGTACACGAAAGGGTCGGCTCGGACTACGCTCTCACAGAATACTAGCGTAAAATAGCAGTTTAATGAGTTTAATGCTGCTGTGTTTCGTATGGTGAGTGTAGAGAACCGGAAACCCTTTTTACTGGAAAAGAGGCATTCCATCTTAGTCCTCACGGGTGACAACGCATCTGTATTTTGATTCGTGATCGAGGATAGATGCAGATGTTTATGGGCCACAGCAACCACTTACCATTAGGTGGACTGTGTGCTCGTTTGTCACCCTTATCCTATAAAAAATAATAGCATTCGAATAACCCCCTCAGCTCAATAAAAGATAGTTATTTTGATATTACAGACAAATACTTCAATTTTATTTTAATGTATAGATTGATATGTATAGATTAAATATTTTAGTACCATATGAACGTAAAATGAGCAACGAATGATGCGCAATATGTATTGTTTTTAAAACTAGACAAAGGATCATTATTGTTTGTCTAATCTTTGATAATGATAGCTCTTATCTATTAGAAAAAAAAAACAATAACATTGGGTAAGTGTTTCTCATTCCTAGTTACAGAGTAAACCCAAAAAGGTGTTAATCAATAATAATCGATAGATACACAAAATTATTCGCTGATGATACGACGGTATTTGTTTATGAAATATGTGCGTTAAATGTTGGTGATCGAAGTGTTGTGGAAATTATTAAAATAAGATTTATTTTGATCTATCTGATTTTGTTAATTATAATTGAAGGTCGAATGATTGCGTGTGGTGTAAATATTTGTCTAAAAATCGAACTTATAATTAAATAAATCACTTCATAAATAAACCGTTAAAAAGTGAGTGTACTTTACTATGATACTAAAGGAACTGTTACAAGTTGTGTGCTGCGGACGCGAAGAGAGGTCACCTAAATTTGTTTTCTATGGTGATGTGCTGGATGAATTCAAAAAGTAAAGTTGTCTATTCCTTTGTAATTTAATGCAGTTATTTTGAAAAAAAAAGTTTTAAACAGTGGTAGAGCCACGCGGCAGCTTTTGCTGTCGCACGGATGGGCCGGCTCGAACCGGGGTAGTACCACGACCTCACAGAAAACCAGCGTGAAGTAGAGGTTTACCTCTGCGTTTCGCTTGGTGAGTGCAGGTGGCCGGAGGTCCTTTTTACTGGAAATAAGGCATTCCATCTTAG